AATCATTGCATACATATGTTTTTAGGGTAACACAATCCAATCCATAACACAATAAAATATAAAAACACTCATTAAAATATATAAAAAAAGACTCAAGATATTATAAAAATCCTCATTAAAGTATAACTGAGAAATGATCTAAGATCTGAAGAACAAAATGACTTGTTCCAAATAGTTGGATTTAAAAAAAAGTCTTACTAGTAAGGGAGCTCCGGTGGCTCAGTCTGTAAGGTGTTTCTCTGATAACCCCAAAGTGCACCTATCTGATGGTTCAAAGCCACCAGGATCTCTGTGGCTGCAAGATGGGCAGTCTGCTCCAACACAATTTATAGTTTCTCAGAAACTTGCTAGAAAGTCAGCTATGATTTGATGGCAATGAACTTGAATTTTTTAAATTATCGAATAAACCTTCTTGTTGAAAGGTCCAAACCCAATGTGATTCCCAGAAGCAACACTAGCCAGGTGTATGGCAAATATGCTTTCTTTGAAATGTATGCCTTGGTGAAAGGATGCTGAAGTTTAAAGTAACATCATCCCCAAACAAAGAGAGGAGTGAGATATTTATCCATTCTTCATTGGTCGATTATGGTAGTCACAGAAATTTCCAGGGCCTTGAGTCATTTCCCATTTTTCCATCACACCTGATCTTAACTATTAACATTGTGGAGCATATCAGAAGCCATGTTTGAGGATAGTCAAATGTCATCTATACATTAACCAGGTGATTTACTATTTTTTGGCATAGACTTGCACAAAGTCATCTATTCGGAAAGGACCAGTAAGTCAGCAAGATGGAGTCACTTTGGTTTTACCTTTACATATATTAGCATCTTTGCATATACTAGCATCTAAAGTCAAATGCAATATTTATCATATAAGCTTTACTTGTTCTGTAAATTTCATTTCTTTCAATTGTTCACATTTATCTGCTATGATAAAAACAAATTTAAAACCACTGCCATCATCCATGGCATTAATGGTTAGTGCATTTGAATAATGTTGTATTAACATTACAATAGTCTCTTGCTGTTAGATGTAATATTTTGTGTCAATTAGATTAAGTTTATTGATTGTATAGTTCAAGTTATTTAGATTTTTTTTCTGCCTACTTGACCTATAAATTACTTCCAGGGTAATATTAAAGTACCCTCAATTATACCAGTGGATTTGTCTATTACCTTTTTGGTTCCATTAACTCATGTCTCAGTTATTTTTATGCCCTTTGGTAGATATACAAATGTTTAGGATTGTTATATTCTTGGAGAGCTATCCGATTTATCATTATGCTGTTTTTGTATACTATTGAGTTGGAACTGACCCATAGCTGATCCTCCAGTAGGTTTTCAGAGGCAGTTAATTACACTGAAGGAGATTGCCCGTCCTTCTCCCATGGAGCAACTGGTGAACTTGAACCACATGTCTTAGGGATTGCAGTGCAGTTTCTTGCCACTAGCCACAAGAGCTTCTTCTATCATTATGTGTTGTTGTGTACCATAGAGTCAGAACCCACCCATAAGCTGACCCTTCAGTGGGTTTTCAGAGTCAGTTAATCACTCCAGTGGAGATTGTCCATCCTTTTCCCACTTATCATTAGGTAATGACCCTTATATCACTGAGAAGCTTTCTTGTTCTGAAATTGGCTTTGTCTGAAATTAAGTTACTTCAACTTGGGCAAATCTGCTGTTTTAAAACTCCTTTAAAGATTACATTTCAAAGACTGAGGTATACATGAGCCAAGCAATGGTATTTTTCATAGGTTCATATAAGTGTGAAAGTTGTACAATATAAAAGAAGACATAAGAAGAACATAAATTTGAAGAAGGAAGGCATAATAAGAAGAATCTGCCTTTGAATTATGGTATTGACAAAGAATATCAAATATATCATGTAATGTCCATGGTATGTTCAAGACTCTTCTCCAGCACAATTCTTCTTCTGTCACTTTTAGTCATTGTCCAGCTCTCTGATGCATGGCAAGTAATTGTGAAGGCCATGGCCTGAATTAGGTACAACTTAGTCTCTAGACTGACATCATTGCTTTTCAGTACTCTGGAGAGGTCCTTGACAGCAGATTTTCCCAATGCAATTTGTCTTTTTATTTCCTGACTGCTGGTGCCAAGAGTGTTGATTGTGGAGCCAAGAAAGCTATAATTGTTAACAACCTCAATCCCTTCTCCATCTATCATGGTGCTGCCAGTTGGCCCAGTGGTAAGAATCTTTGTTTTCTTGTATTGAGCTTTAATCCATATTGTAGGATACAGCCTTTGTCTGCTGAGAAAACAAAAAGGTCTGTCTGGGAAAAGGTGAAACCAAGTTTCTCCTTGGAGGCTAGGATTTTGAAGCTCTGTCTCACATACTTTGGGTATGTGGCCAGGAGGGACCAGTCCGTGGAGAAGGAAATCATGCTCAGAAGGGTGGAAGGATAGTGCAGGTAAGGAAGCTCCAGATGAGATGGATTGGCACAGTAACTGGGAAATAAGAGTAGGTGTGTTGGAATCAGTGAGACTGGCTCAGAACAGGGCAGGCTTTAGAGCTATTATACACAGGGTCGCTATGACTCACAGGTGACTTAACAGCACATAACAACAAGAACAACAACATCATGTACTATCCAAAGAACAAACAAATCTATCTTAGACGAAGTGTAACCAGGGTGCTCCTTAGAAACAAGAAAGGTTAGACTTCATCTCACATACTTTGGTAATGCTAGCAAAAGAATCTACTTGGTAATGGTTATCATACTTGGTAAAGGAAAGGATCAGTGAAAAAGAGGAAGACTCTCAAAAGATGGGTTGACAGTGACAACAAAGGACTTCAGTACAGCATAGATTATGAGATGGGCACAGGAGAAGACAAGATTTCGTTCTTCTGCATGTAAGGTAACTCTCAGTCAGGGCCACCTCCAAAACACTTAACAACAAAATAATTTTGATGTTATTGTTATGTGCTGTCAAGTCAACTGTGACCCTGTTGCTGTTGTTGTTATGTGCCGTCGAGTCGTTTGCGACTCATAGTAACCCTATGTACAACAGCCCTAAACCCTGCTCTATCCTGTGCCAATCTCATTGCCTCCGACACACCCATTGCGATTACCCCAGTCACTGAATCAATCCACCTCATAGAGGGTCTTCCCCTCCTCCGCCATCCCTCCACTCCGCCCAGCATGATGTTCCTCTCCAAAGACCTGTCCCTCCTTACAACATGTCCAAAGTATGTCAGGCGAAGCCCCAGAATCCTTGCCTCCAAGGAGCAGCCTGGTTGAACCCTCTCTAGGATGAATCTATTTGTTTTCTTGGCAGTCCATGGTACATTCAGTACTCTTCTCCAGCACCACAGCTCAAAGGCGTCAATTCTCCTTCTATCCTCCCTAGTCATTGTCCAACTCTCTGATGCATAACAAGTGATTGCAAATACCATGGCCTGTATCAGGTGCACCTTAGTCTCCAGAGAGACACCGTTGCTCTTGACCTTAGTGACCTTATAAACAATGAACCTGAACATTGCCCTATCTTGTGCCATCTTCACCATCTTTAATATACTTGAACTTGTTGTAGTCAGCACTTTGTTAATCAACTTGTTGAGGCTCTTTCTACCCTACATCAACTTTCCCTTCTGAGCATGATGTCCTTCTCTAAGAAATGAATCACTTAACAGCATGTTCAAAGTATATGAGACAAAGCTTCACTTTTCTTGCTTCCAAGAAACAGCCTGCTTTTGCTTTATCTAAAACACAACTGTTTGACTTTCAGCCTCCCATGGAACATTCACAGAGCTCAATATCTCTTCTGTTATCCTGAGTCATTGACAAACTTTCAGATGCATAGCAAGCCATTTGGAAGACCATAGCTTGGATCTGATGCACCTTAGTTTTTAAACCAACCTCATTGTGCTGTAGTACTCTGGAAAAGTCCCTGACAACAGATTTTCCAAATGTGGCTCCTCTTTAGATTTCCTCAATACAGGTACTAATGGTATTGAGTGGATCCAAGAAAGGTGAAATTGTTGACAACTTCAATCTTTTAACGATGTTGCCTATTAGCCTGGTGATGAGGATTTTTGTTTCCTTGATACAGATATGCACTCTATATTGGAGATATATTGATCTTTTGTAGCAAGCACTTTAAATCCTTCTCACTTTCAGTGAGCAAGGTTGTGTCATCTGCATAACATAAGTTGTTAGCGAGTTTTCCACCAATCCTGATACCAAATTCTTCATCACAAAGTACAGCTTCTCAAATTATTTGTTTAGCATACAGACTGAAGAGATACAGAGAAAGGTTACAGTCCTAATGCACAACTTTATTTTAAACAATGCAGCATTCCTATGGTCTATTCAGATAAGAGCTTCTTGGTCTAGATACCATTTCACATATACACAATGAAGTGTTCTGGGGTCTCCATTCTTTCTCAGTATTAGCCATAATTTGTTGTGATTCACACAGCCAAAAGCCTTTGCACAGACAATTAAATAGATAGGTATCTTTCTGGTTTTCTCTGTTTTCTACCATCAGACAACAACAATTATGCCCTTGGTGCCATGGCCCCGTCAAAATGCAGATTGAGTTTCTGGCAGTTCTTTGTTGATTTTTAAATAATGTTCAGCAAGATATTGCTCGCAAGTGACAGTAGTGACATTGATAATTTCCACATTCCAATGGATCTTATATTTTGAGAATGGAGATAAATATGGATCTCTTCTAAATTATTTGGCATAAACTGGTGAGTACATCCAGGGCTATATATATTTGTAGGGATATATCAATTTATATTTCATCAATTATTGTGGCCTTATTTTTTACCAATGCCTTCAATAAAGCTTGAACTTCATCCTTTATTAGAATTGGTGCTTGGTCATATGCTACTTCCTGAAACGATTCTGTGTCAGTCAGTTCTTATTGGTACAGTGTGTATTACTCCCATTTTTTTTCTTTTTCTTTTTTTTTTTTTTTGTATTTCAAAACAAACTCTGGCCAATTTTATTGAAGAAAAATATTACATGATTTATTTTTCACCAGTCTGTTCTGGCATGCTTCTAATGATATCAGAATCACCTGGATCAATGATAGCCAGTGTGCATACTCTGTAGTATTTTCCGCATGCTGTGCCTAGTTCAATATTATTGCCACTGTAGTGATGGACACCAGTTTTGGCCAACAGCGCATAGTACTCTATTTCAGATTTCCTCAAGGCTGGGCAGTTGTTGGCGAGGATGACCAGCTTGGCTTTTCCTTGCCTGATCATCTTCAGAGTCTGCTTGTACCCCAGCACATATTTCCCGCTTTTCATAACAAGCTGGAGCCTCGAGTTGATCGACTCCAGGGACTTTTTCGTCTTTTTCGCAGCCACCATCTTTTCGCCTTGGGTGCCTGCCGGCCCTCCACCTAGCGCTGCCGACAAAATGGCCGGGGAGGAATAAAGGAAGCCCCATTTTCTTTTTTATGCTTCTTGGATTATTTAATAAGAATTTACTGAAAGCATCCTTCCTTCCATATTGTAACTCAAAACTTCAATTTGTTCTTCATTTTTCACAGTTTGACCATTTAATCTCCAGCCTCATTTTGATCAGATCTGTAATTTCCAACCACCAGACCTGCTTCCTTGTTTCCAACTTTTGCATCTATTCACCCATTATTATTAATGAATTTTGATTGTGTTTTCAAGCAGTTTCAGACTGCAAAAGTTGGTTGTTGTTATTATTGTTGTAATGTGCTATTGAGTTGACTAGGACTCAAAATAATCCTATAAACAATGGTTCTAAACCTTTCATTATCCTAAGCCAACCCCACCTTCTCAAACACATATGCTCCCATTGCCACAGTCACTGTGTCAATCATCTCATCCAGGATCTTCCTCTCTTGTAGTGACCCTCTTTTCTTTCAAGCATGATGTCCTTCTCCAAGGACTGGTCTTTTCTGGTCACGTGCCCAAAGTGTGGCATGTGGAACTCCAAAATCCTTGCTTTCAGAAACAACCTGGTTTCACCCTCTCCAGGACAACCTATTTGTTCTCTTGGCAGTTCAGTACTCTTCTCCAGAATGGCAACTCAAAGTTATTACTTCTTCTTCTGCCATTCTTAGTCATTGTCCAGCTCCCTGATACATAGGAAGCAACTAAAAAGATCATTGTCTAGATCAGACGCACCTTAGTTTCTAGATCTACATCATTGCTCTAGATTGACCTCAGCACTCTGGAGAGGTCCATAATAGCAGACTTTCCAAAAGCAATTTGTCTTTTGATTTCCTTACTGCTGGTTCCAAGAATGTTGATTTTGTAGTTGAACAAGATTAAATTGTTAACAACCTCAAACTTTTCTCCATCTATCATGATACTGCCAATTGGCCCAGTGGTGAGGATCTTGGCTTTAGTTGTCATCACGGCCTTTTGAACTACACCATTTCACAAAAGGAGCCCTGAAAGCCAGCCTGCCTCTGGGCCTTTTGGTCCTATGCTGTTACACCAGGGATCCCCTACTGCCTGTGCCATGGTATCTGTACCTTTCTTTGCTGGTAGTTAGAATTTGCTCTAAGGGTACAATATTTATTTGTCAGTTTCTTATATTGGAAAAGTGATTTGCATATGTGCTTTTTTATCATCTGCTTTTGTATGTACAGTTGTTTTCTAGCAGTTGCTGTACTTAAGTGGAGCTGTCAGATTAAGATAGGTTAAGAAGAAAGATTGGATGTCTATTTCTAAAACATGGACTAAAGAGAAACACTGTTAAATATAACACTAGATGTAGACAGAAACACACACCCAAATGAGGAAGAACAGTTGCAAATATCCATTAATAGCCAGAATATGGAATTTACAAAGCATGGATTTAGGAAAATTGGATGTTGTAAAAAAGGAAGTGGAATTCATAAAGATTTACATTCTAGGCATTAGAGAGCTGGGGTGAGCTGACATTGATCACTTTGATTCAGGCAGTCATATAATCTATTATACCCAGAATGAAAAAATGAGAAAGGATAAGGTTGTATTCATAGTTAAAAAGATCATTTCAAAATTCATCCTGAAGTGCAATGTTGGATGCAATAAGATACTATCCATGTACATACAAGAAAGACTTTTCTAGTATATAGTGTTATATAGTATAGTATATATTATTATATATTATATATTTTATAGTATATATATATAATATGTTGTTGTTGTTATTGTTATTTGGTGCCATTGAGTCAAGTATGACTCATATCGACATTATGAACAGCCAACCTGAACCTCACCCTATCCTGTGCCATCCTCATCATCTCTGATACACTAGAATGCACTGATGAAGTCTCTATAACAGTCTATTACATTAGGAGTCTCCCTCTCCTTTGTTGATCCTCCATCTTTCCAAGAATGATGTCCCTTTCCAAGGAATAGCCTCACCTAGCTACATATCCAAAGAATGAAGCTTTACCATCCTTGCTTCCAAGGAGCCTTCTGGCTGCAATTTTCCCAAGACAAATATGTTTGTTCTTTTGCCATCCATGAGATATTGAGCACTCTTCTCCCACATCACAACTCAAAGGCATCATTTCTTTTTCTGTCATCTTATTTATTGTCCAGCTCTCTGATGGATAGCAGGTGGTTAAAAAGACCATAGCATAATTTAGGCGCTCATTAGTCTTCAAACTTAGATTATTGCTTCTCAGCATTCTGTCCCTGACAGCAGATTTTCCCAGTGTAATATGTCTCCTGATTCCTGACTGCTGGTACCCAGGGTGTTAATTGTGGATCCATGCAAGAAAGAATCATTGACAGTTTTTACCCTTTTTCCGTCTATCAAAATGTTGGTTCTGTAGTAAGAACGTTTATTTTCTTAATGTTAAGATGTAATCCATAATGAAGGCTTTGTAATCTTCTACAGCAAGAGTTTCATATTCTTTTCACTTTCAGCAAGCAAAATTGTGTCATCTGCACAACACAGGTTGTTGATGAGTCTTCTTCCAATCCTGATGCCACATTCTTCTTCATAAATTCTGGCTTTATGGACTATTTGCTCAGCATATTTGCTCAGATTTAATAGGTATGGAGAAAGTATACAACCATCACACACCCCCTTCCTAATTTTAAACAATGCAGTGCTCTCTTGCTTTGTTTAGACAGCAGTTTCTTGGTTTAAGCATAAATTGTATATGAGCATAATTAAGTGTTCTAGGATTTCCAGTTGTCTCAAAGTTAGCCATAATTTGTTATGATCCACACAGTAAGTGCCTTTACATAGACAATTAAACACAAACATTCTTCTGGTTGTCTCTGATTTCAGCCAGAATCCATGTGACATCAGTGGATGCTTCAGACCCTTCAAAAACCAGCTTGCACTACAGTTTGTATCCTGTCAATATACTGTTCTAGCTATTTTTCCATGATCTTCAACAATATTTTGCTTGTAAGAGATATTAGTTATTTTATTCGATAATTTGCACATTCTGTTGGATCACCTTTCTTGGAAATGGGGACAAATGTAGGTCTTTTCCAATGAGATGGCCAGGTAACTGTCCTCTATATTTCATAGCATAAACTGGTGAGCACATCCAGGGCTGCATCTGTTAGTTGAAACATGTCAATTGGTATTCCATTGATGATTACACTATATAGTCTACAGGGAGTTCTGGTGGCTTAATAGCAAGGAGGTGCACTGACAACCCAAAGACAGGTGGGTCAAATCCACAAACTGCTCTGAGGAAGAAAGACGGGAAGCTTCTAGTGCAATTTACAACCTCTGAAAACCCTCTAGAGTCAACTATGATTGGGTTCTCATTGGGAGGCAAAAACCAACAGCAACAATTACAATCAGTACTTGTTTTTATATGAAGTATAATGAAAGAGCTGGAGTCAGAAAATCAAAAGGGATGAACTTGCTCAGAATTTCTTAAGCTGAAGGAAGTGAAGAACAAGCTTTAGCCTCAAGTTGCAGTACTTAAGGATGCCGAGAGCAGAATATTGAATGACCGTGAAAGCATCAAAAGAAGATGGAAGGAGTATACAGAGTCACTATACTAAAAAGAATTGGCTGACACAAGAATTTAATAAAATAACATAGGAGCAAGATCCCATGGTGATGGAGGAAATTCAAGCCGTTCTGAAGGAATTGGCAAAAAACAAGGCCTCAGCAGTTGATGGCATATCGATTGACATATTTCAGCAAATATATGCTGCTCTGGTAATACTCAACAGGTTATGCCAAGAAATCTGGAGGATAGCTACAAGGTCAACTGATTGGAAGAGATCTATATTTATTCCCATTCCAGAACAAGATGACCCGACAAAGTATGGAAACTATCAAACAATATTATTAATATCACACACAAGAAAGATCCTACTGAAGATTATAAAAAAATGACTGGAGTAGTATATCAGCAGAGAATTGCCAGATGTAAGGCTGTGTTTAGAAGATATCATGGTATTAGGGACATCATAGCCAATGATAGATGGATCTTGGCCAAAAGCAGAGAGTATTAAAGGAATGTTTATCTGTGTTTTATTGACTTTGCAAAGGCATTTAACTGTGTGGATCACAACAAACTGTGGCTAACCTTGAGAAGAATAGGAATCCAGAACACTTGATCATGCTCTTGTGAAACCCTTCCTTGGACCAGGAAACAGTTGTCAGAACAGAGCAAGGAAACACTGCATGATTCAGGATCAAGAAAGGTGTGTGTCAAGAATTCATCCTATCTCAATACCTTTTCAATCTATATGCAGAACAAACCATTTGGGAGGTTGGACTTTATGAGGAGGAATGCGGAATCAAGATTGGAGAAAGACTCATCTACAACCTGCATTATGCAGCCAACACAATGTTGCTTACTAAAATGGAGGAGGACTTAAGGTGTATGCTGAAGAGGGTCAAGGACTGCAGTCTTCAATATGGATTGAAGCTCAGCATCAAGAAAACAAAGATTCTTACCACTGGGCCAACTGGCAGTTTTCATAATAGACGGAGAAGAAATTGAGATTGCTAACAACTTCAGCTTGCTTGGCTCCATAATCAACACTCTTGGCACCAGTAATCAGGAAATCAAAAGACAAATCGTATTGGGAGAGTTTGCTGTCAGGGACTTCTCTAGAGTACTGAAGAGTAATGTCAATTTGGAGACTATCGTGTGCCTGATACAAGTCATGGTCTTCATAATTACTTGCTGTGCAATAGAAAGCTAGACAATGACTAAGGATGAAAGAAGAATCAATGCCTTTGAATTGTGGTGCTGGAGAAGAGTGTTGAACATACAGGAGAACAAACAGGTCAGTGCTGGAGAGGGTGAAAGCAAGATGCTCCCTGGAGGCAAGGATTTTTTAAGCTCCATCTCACATTCTTTGGGCACATGGCCAGGGAAGGAAAACCATTCCTTGGAGTAAAAACATCATGCCTGGACG